GCTGGATCTAGGGTGCATGATACTGGAATTAAGAGTGTGTAGTACTAAATGAGTCCACTGATTGGAATTATCATACTTCTGGGTGTAGATAATGGGGTGGGTGACGCCAATCAATAGGCTTAAAGCCTAGATGGAATACAGAGGGAGAGAGGGAAGGCAGCTGCTGCTGGTTGTTCCTTGCTGCTTCCTGCCCTACCATGGATGGTTTCTCCCCTGCGATGCTCCTCTGCCATGCCACCCTGCCTTGGAGCCAGCTGACTATCGAATTAAACTTCTACAGACTGTAAGCTGAAATAAACCTCTCCTTTAACTTGTAGGTGTTGGGTATTTTTGTGTCAGCAATGAGAAAAGAGACAAGGGCATAGCCTGTTTCAGTTCTTTACATCTGTTCCAACTGAGAGTGGCCTCTCAGGAGAATGAGCATCTTTGACATTCACTGGCCCTTGGTCCCTGTGGGCACTTGGCCCAATCCTGCTGCTCTGCAGCACACAGGTGAGACTTGCCTAGCTCCCCAGAAAGAGAAGCAAGAGAGAATGTCAGATGTGGGTATAAAGGAACTAATTACATATTTGTACTTAATGTGTTCCTTCCCAAGCAAGATAATTTCCTGGGAGTCAAGTGCTTTCATCCTCATATTTACCAAACAATACCAGAATCTTCAGGAAATGATTACAATGCAATTTATCTTCAAATTGTCCATCACTGTTCTCTCTATATTAATATATAATATATATGTATACTTTTGTTAAAAAGTATTAAAATGATTATTTACAAAGAACACACAACCTATTTAAAATATTTTTAAAAATGATTTGCCTTTAACTGTTCTCTTATTGCTCCTTAACAACCCTCTAGTAAGCTCTTGGTGTTCTCCTGACATACACTTAGTCACAGTGTCCCTGAATTTCCCTAACTCTGTAAAAACTGCTTCCTCTCTGGAGATGGTCTCCTTTTCTTTGGAATGCAGGCTTTCTGAGGCAATCTCCTCCTACACATCTGTATATTCCCCGCCCCCTCCCTCCCTCCCTTCCTTCCTTCATTCCTTCCTTCTACACCTGGAGATAGGAACACCTCCAGGCCCAATGTGATTGGTTCCAGCCCTGTCTACTGTGGGAATCCAAGCTTCACTCCCTTCCTTCCTCTTCCCACATCAAGTGTCTCTCACTGGCCAGTTGCGAAGGGCAGGAGATTTATCAGATCAACAGAGGTTTTTCACACAACTGAGGAAGTACAGCAGATCAGCAATAGGGAGGACAATATTGGTCACCTCTTCCCATGGTCCATGGCATTCTCCCCCTTCTGCTCTCCACACACTTTCCCCATGTCCAGCCAATTAGACATTCTGGGGACAGAATCCGAATAGCTTTTTGCCTCAGAAAATTTTCTTACATCAATTCTTCTTCTTAACCTTTCTCCTTCTGCCTAAAAATGAGAAGTGGCTTTCCCCTATCTCAAACTTATTTGAGCTGTCATCTCGGCCTCATTTGAGATCTGGGCTTCTGCCAGTTTTTGTTGTTGGATTAGGAAAGTTCCATGTTTGGGTATGGGTGGGAGAGTTCGTGGGGTGGGATTGCAGGGAAGGAGTTAGGATGCCACCGGGGCTCAGTTACATTTGGGAATGCTCAAGTCTGAGACCAGCAGAGGTGACAGGCAAGCTCCCTGAGTGGTCTGGTCTCAATAGGAACAGGAACCACAGCCAGGTGCTCCTGATTACCTCATCCTGCCCACAAGGCCTGGGCTTGACATGCTGGGATTAATTCCATGCTTCTGGCTGGAGGCAGAGAAGTTGCCTCATTTACTAAAGCCTTTCTGTTGTCAGCACTTTTTCATTGGTCTTCTGATCATCTGCATCCTCAGAGTTCTTGGTTCCTAGGTATTGCCTGGTACCACTAATGGGTCATCTTAATGCACACCCTGAATTTGGGTCCTCCTGGTTTCTAATCCTCAAAGCCAAACTTCAGACAACATTGAAATAGACTAGTATTCACTGGACTCTGGGCTCCAGGTTCTTGAAAGAACTTAGAACCAGACAGTAATGCTTAAGAGTCCTCACATATGGAGAAGGAAGCGATAACTAAAGACACTAGGCAAAAAGTAGAGGATACCAGCCACAATCAGCATCCTGTTCAGAAGACTCAAATTCAAAGGAGCTTAGGGTATATAGAGAGGAAAGGGGCCGAAGGCCTTATTTCATTTAACTAGTACAAGGTCTAGGAGAAGCATTTCAAAGCCCATTCTGCAGATGAGGACAAAGAGTTGATGACTCCCTTAAAGGTCAGGTTATTCAAGCAGAGGAGCCCAAACTAGAACGGAGGGCACATCTTGGTGCTCACGAGTTAAGCTTGAGCTGAAAATATCTGCTTAAATTGCTCAACTACTCAGAACCTATGGACATCTGGTCTAGCTTGACAGATGACTTTCAGTTAAGAAGCTAATGGTTCTATTTTCAAGCTTTCAGAGATTTCTACCCAGAAAAACCCCTTTCTAAAGTCAGAATTCTTTGGCAGCATCTTTTTAACCTCCTCTTAGTCCTACCATGCTATTTTCATTCCACTTTGTCAGCATTTTCCCTGGCCCCTGCCATGGCCTTACATTTCTGAGCCATGTGACAGACAATATGTAGACTGGAGCTGGCTAAGGCCTTCTTGTGCCCATCTCTAAGTCACTTTTCCATCTGGCTACAGAATGACTAACTAGTAATCAGACTTCCATGAAAATGACAAACGGAGACAATTATGTGTGATTTTTTAAAAAAAAAAGCCTACTGAAGTGCATTTTGCTCACCATAACAGAGAAGACCCAGCCCATATTCTGGAACTTTCCGTGGCAAGTCACAAGACCAACTTAATCCATCCACAGAGGGCAGTGGGTGCTCAAGGGTATTCGGGAACAATCAGAATTGTTAATAGCTCACTATCTGCAAATAGTTTCATGCATTGTGTTTAAATCCTTTACATTTCGAACCTGGTTCTCCTTCTCTCTTATAATGCAGGAATTTTGTATTTGTTTAAGACAAAGTTCTTCACTGAATTTTTAAAACCACGCATTCAACTAGCTTTAAACAGTGGAATCAACCCTATACTTCTCTGTGGACCATCTACTGTATATTCTCGTAGGTCCTAAGATCAACTATCTCTAGGAATTTTTTTGTTCCAGAATTTTGCCATTATATTTCTCTTTACTAAATGATTTTAATAGAATGAAGGCTTTCATTCTATAGTTTCATTGAATTCTGTTTACCTCCCTATTTGGGGAAATGTGTTCTAGCTAATAGTGAACAGGAAGAAAACAAGACTGAGATCTGCCTAAAGTTCAATTAAACTCAAATCCTCTCACTTCATCCACAGGAGAACATGAAGGATGTTACTACAAAAAATGTGTTTTGTTGGGGGTGGGGAGTACAGGAGAAGGATAGGAGTGTCATAGAAATCCCTAAACTTTCAGGGATTCTGAGATTGGTTTCAAAATGGAATTTATCTTCAAATCCCAAGATTATAAATTTCCTTCCAAACTGCATTTCCTACATGGTTTAGAGAGCAGTTAAAAAAGCAATTGCTCTCCATATTTTGATTGACATGAAAAACACTGTGAAAAAAGTTTGGAACTTGATCTCTTCGAGGAAAGACAATAATCAAGCTACAGCTTTCGCCTGCAGCCTTTCTCTCACACTTACTCAGAACTGTTCCAGGGAAAGAAATTCACAGAGAAGCCTGTTCTCATATATCACTTCTAGAAGGAGAAGGAGGCATTCTCAAGAAATTATCCCTCAACTCCTAAATACAAAGAGAAAGGTTTATTAAATGACTCTCAATTCCAAACCATGATATTTCATAGAATAAAATCAAGTGAAATCAGTCACTGGGAGTTGGTGTCTTCAACATTCACACTATTAAAAATTATCAGATTCACCCCTCCTTTCACAAGCCATCTAGTCTTCACTTAAGTTCTAGCCATACATGTCTGGTTTCTCCAAACTTGCTAGAAGGATTTTAGGGTTTCCGTTTACAAGCCCATCTGCATAGCCTTGTTAACAGGAGGGATCCATGAATACCAAGCACTTTGTTCTCATCCACTCTTTTGACCATGTATTGCCACAGCTCTGAAACTCCCCCCGCCCTTTACAATCAGGTCTTTCTAAAAGGAGTTGCAGACTACTACCAGCTAGCTGCCTGCATTATTGTTTAAGATGCCCAAATACGTCTATCTTGAAATTGAAGCCTATCCGCTTCATTTCTGGAACTTATTTCCAACTTAAATCTTTTCAGATTCACTAGGCATAATCAGGCACACTTTCAAATAGAAAATAAGACCTCTTAAAAAATAGCATGGTAGGAGTTCTAAAAGCACATCCACTAGTGTGCATACTCTTTTGTTAGGAGGTTTTACATAGGAAATAGATCATGTTAAGTAACTTCTGTCTTAGCAAATATCAAATCAATAGCATTAAATCAACTGGCATGGGTGCTAGCACTCTCAGACCTTATTTTCTTGCGGGTCTGAAAGGCCAGTTCATGAATACTGATTGCAGAGTAACATAGAAATGCCTTTGGTTAAAAAACCATCCCTCTTGATTCCTCGACATCTAAAAGTTGTTGCCATCATTTTTAAAGTAAAACGCTTTAAACTGTCTGATAATAATAGGTGCAGAAGAAACCTCTGGGTGAAGAGAACGCTGACCTGGGCCTGTGGATATCAGGTACAATTCCACCTCACTCTCTCAAACAAAAGACCATCCTAATTAAAGTTCCCAGAACTCCCTGAAAGTGAGTAACTATGATTTCTCCTCTGTTCCATCTCTAGAAACAAAACTTGAAATATTATCCTGTTTGTCTTCCGGGAACATCGGCAGGGTAACCTCAAGCAGGCTCTGGGAATTTGCATGGTTTACTGCCTTAAACAATCTTGCATCTCCAGCTTCCTTGGCTAGGAATGCTGAATGAAACCCGGAGAAAGTCCCCAGCTTCTCTGGAGGAGAAAAAAGAAAGGCCCCTGTATCTTACCTCCCTGAAGCTGAAACTTCTTCCCGAGGACAACGTTGGAGAGGAACGACTGATTCCTTTAAGCAAGAGCACAGGGAGAGAGCAGTAGGCAGGCAGGCAGCCTAGCGCACACTGCCTTACTCAATAAAAGTGCAGACCTCCCTTCCTTGGCCCCTCCCAGAAGTCCACGCTAAGCGAACACATAGCCCCTATGTTTACAGTCGCAGGCAGTGGTATGCATTGTCCTGCAGTTTTTCTAATAGGCAGCCAATGAAGACACCCGGCCAAGGTAACGCAGTCTGCCTGAGCAGATGCCTGTCATTCCCTAGGCATGCTCAGGAAATCACTCATCAGAAAAACCAAGACCTAAAAAGCTCTGAAACTGCAAGCCGACTGCCAAAACCAGCCTGCTCCATGCCCTTTTTTGGTTATCCTTAGCAGGGCCCCTGGAAGTGGATCCATTGTCAGGAACAATCATAAGAAATGTTAATCTTGGAGAAAGAGGCTGTCTTGTAGAACACAAATGGAGCTTTAAAAAGAAAGCACAGCCTATGAGAAGAGAAGCTGGCAGTTAGGTATGTTTATGGAGTGGGGGTGGGGAAGGACTATGAGTTGGGGAGCCTTAAGACTGTATTTCTTTTTTTTTCCATTAAGTTTATTGGTACATTTAAAACAAACAATACAGTTACATTTATCATTGGGATCTTGTACCTTTACATGTTATATCTCGGTTCTTGTTTTGCCTCACACCCCTGCCCTCCTTCACCCCCTTCACCCTTCCCTATTTACAAAGACTTTATTTCCATTTTTTCATTTTTTTCACATTTTTTCTTTTCCCTTATTTCCTTTCCCCTCCCCTCCCCACTTCCCCTTTAGTCATTTTCTTCCTATTTCACAAGAGTATATTTCTTTTCAAAGTACTTGCACATACAGAATGAATTTAAAATTGTTATGCAATTTGAAAACCTGAAACAGACAAGACCCAGGTCTGCTGTATAGACTAAATTGTAGCTTGGAAGAGGTGTACAGCTTCCTAAAATATGTCTATGTGTGTTATAAAAACAACTGACCACACTGGTCTTTTTTAGCAGGTAGTGTTGGTCAGAATAAACCTCAGGCCAGAATTTATCTAGGCAGAGTCCTAAGGCTTGTGTAGGCGCCTTGGTTTTCCATGTCAACCCACCTCCCCCATCTTTTGTGTCCTTGATCTTGTCAATGAGGAGATAATGCTGGAAAGTGATGCTCAGCAGAGAGGCATGAAAAGACCCAGCACCTGCTTTGGAGCTGGGATGGACAGATGCATATCTGTCCAGGTGACTTCAAGGTGTGCCTTCTGGAACATTTGTGGTCAGGGAGAGTCTGAGTTAGGAGATGCAAAATTAATATGCAACTAACTGGTCCACAAGTGAATTCAGTTGTGATCTTGTACTTTTCAGAATTCACTCAGTATTTTATTCAATAAAACATTTCTTCCCTTCTGAAATATCTGCTGTTTGTCATGCCCAGGGCTAAGTCTCATTATTGCTATGTGTTTGGATACTCTTTCACCACCCACCAAGAAGTTTTAAATATTTTCCCTGGCTAATTACAACTCTAAAAGCTTGGTCTTCAAATTTTTAAGGTTTTACTGAAAAAGCCATTCCCTCTTTATGAAGATCTGACTTAGAAATGCTCTCTATTTACGAAAAACTCCCTTCCCTTAGTGCCCAATTCAGAACACGTGGGAAGCAGCTGATCCACAGCGATGGTTTTGCCCTTCAGCCCTCCAGTGTTAACCAGTTACCCAGGCGTACCCGTCTGACTCCGCACACATCTTTTTCTTAGGAACGCTAGTATTCCCTTTCTTTTTCCCAACCACCACTCTTGGCCAGCGCAAAAAAGCTACAGTGAAGAATATTCCATAGAGGGAAAGTGGGCTTTAACATCTTAAGTTAGAACTCAGAATGCTCTTTTCCAGAGAAATAGAATAAATAATTTCTTGGTGGGGATAATATAGTCAATGTTGCAATTCAAATTCATGTACCTCCAACAGGCATTTGTGGAACAACACCATTTATAAAATTGTTCCTAAGGAAAAATGTTTTTTGATCTCAAATAAATGATTTTTAAATGGAACACAGCCAGTGGACATCCCATATCTGGGTCGGTTGTGAAGATGGACTAATATTTCTTAGTGTGGTACATGGCTGAATCTGAAGACTTTGTAGGGCGGGCATTAACGAATTCTACAAAAAGCTCAATCGTGATGTGAAGACAAAGCCTCTGTCCAGAGATGTTCCAGGCACACAATCTGCAGGCAGTATCATTGCATAACTCAGGGAAGCCTATTTAAAACTGCTGTTTTCCACCGCCACTGTTGACTTCATCCTAAGCAACTTTCCCCGTGTGTGCTGGGAATGTCTTTTAGTCAAACAGCATCCGGGCACAATTTTGCAATGCACAAATAAAATAAATACCAGCTTTCTAGAGGAAAAAAATTGTGCTGCAAAGAGGGAAAATATTATCAACAGGAAACATGGAAGGGACATGCATTTTTGCATGGTTTTTAGAAGATAAAGGGCTAAATATTTTTGGGTTATGCCTTTGGAAAAAGAAGCATGTTTCCCTAGATAAATTTTGGATAGCTCACATACTGAGTATAATGGATGATCATACATAAAGTCTGTTTTGTTCTTTGGCACTGGGGTTTGAACTCGGGCCCTTGCGGTTGCAAGGCAGGCAGCAGAACCACTGAGCTAAATCCCTAGCCCCAAAGTCTATTTTATATATTTGAAAATAGATATTGCTGGGGAATTAGATTGGAAGAATAATTTAATAAATTTTATGTATATATACAGGGGGCTGAACTCAGGGACTTTACATTTAGAGGTATCTCAGGCTTATTATTATTATTATTTATTTATTTACTATAAGACAGGGTCTCACTAAATTGCTAAGGGCATTCTGGACTCAAACTTGCTGTTCTTCTGCCTCAGCCTCCCAGAGTTCTGTAATTTTAGGCAGGTGTTACCATGTCCAGCCTTTTTTTTTTCCTTTTAAATTAGCAGAAATTAAAAAGAAAAAGGAATGAAAAGAAAAATAAATAAATATATCCCATTCTCTGCCATGAAAAACTTTACTTTCATAATATTTACTTTTTTCCAGACATCATCTGTAAACAGCACTAAAAATACATGTGATTTATATAGGAAATTAATATGGAATATATTTTCCACTTTTATCACCCCAGATAAAGAAGACCTTGTCTGTCATAGGATATACACTATAATCAAGGTATAATAAATCTAAAGAGACATTTGGAAATATCTGGATGATTCATGGTATTTTTTTTGGTTCTAAGCGTTTTCTATCATGTGGATCAGTAGCTAGCAATTATATTTTGTTTCTCTGTTGACTTAGGAAATGTAAAAACAGGCCATTTTTTCATACAAAATTACCAACACTTCATTTAGCTGCAAAAAAACACCACTCCAGCCTAAAAAGTCTACTTTTTTAATAGAAAAAAATTGAAACTTTTAGAAGACAGCAGCAGAACACATTTTTTCCATCCTTTTAGTCAAATACAACCTTTCCAGCCACTCAAGCTTATAAAACAAAAGCAAACTGGTAGAATCTTGATAGAAAAATTGGAAACAAATATATAAATACAAGTGAACACAAAGAAGATTTAAAATAAGTGTACTTATGAACCTAGATTTTTAAAAATTAGGAAATTGAATCCAAAAGTATAAAAAAAGGAAAAAGAATACCAATGCAGGGGTGGTTAAAAATCTTAACATTTGTTCATCTAATATACAACATTAAAAATTTAAGATTTTTTTCAAAATGTAAAAAAAGAAAAAGATCTAAATAGATAAAGAATATATGTGGTAAAATTAATAATCAATTACAGAAAAAATTTGTCTTAGAAAACTAGGAAAAGACTACAAACACAATGAGAAACTTTAACTGGAAATTTATGCCTAACATCATGCTTGCTGATAGAGTATTAAAAGCATTTTCCAAATGAATTTTTGGATTCTTTTTTCTAGTTCTGTGAAATATAGTGTTGGAATTTCAATTGGCATTGCATTGAATGTATATAGCAGTTTTGGTAGTATGGCCATTTTCACTATGTTGATTCTTCCTACCCAGGAGCAGGGGATATCTTTCCATTTTTTTATATCCTCTTCGATTTCTTTTTTCAGAGTGCTGTAGTTTTCAGTGTAGAGATCTTTTGTTTCTTTTGTTAGATTGATTCCTAGATACTTCATTTTTTTTGATGCTATTGTAAAAGGAATTTTTTCC